ATATTCTAGTGCAGCAGCTGGGGGATGTTATTTAGCATGAGTGACTAATATTTAAAGTAATCTGAGTTGCTCTGTTTGATTTACAATGTTCTGTGACAGCCTTTATTTTCTGATGAAACCACAACCTGCTACAGGGGTGGCACAGCTCCTAACATGCTGCGTTATTAGTGGATTGAAAAGCTACCCACAAATATGCCTTTCTTACACAAAATACATGCATAATATCTTATTTCTACCCCCTAAAAACACAACTGTATTAATCAATACACCAATCTAGATAAATCCACATTTATCAGTAAGCCCTTGCATATAAGACCACCCAGCTGAGTTTTGGACAGAGTCTAAGGAAACACACTTCCGTCATAGATCTTTCTCTGAAGAAGCTGTTTACCAGCACTGCCTGGCACTCCTAGAAATACAATGCTGCATGGGAACTTCATCAATTCCCTGTAGAAAACTACCATATTACTCTGACTCTAAATAATAATGCTATTTTTTCAATGCATAACTTCTGCTCTTTATAGCTTTTAATGCCAGTGCTTCAACAATGGAATGTATTCTAGAATGCACAGTCATTCAGTTTTCTACCATCAAATGAGGGCACACAGGCAATTCAGGAGTATTAGAGTATTAAGAATTATTAGGACAACCTTTGCCAAAGCAAGAAGCAATAGTACATGTTCAGCTTAAGAAAGTTTCCAGAAGGTGGGCGTGCATCACCTTGTGAAGATCCAATGCCTTTTAATAAGGTATTTCAAAAAGGGCACCAAAAATGAAGGCACTTAGAACTACCACTCACTTTTGAAACTCCTGGTCTACATAGCTATCTCTTTTTTTTAACTGACATTAGCAAGAAAAAATGAGAATTTCAGAACCTTTCATTAACTGCTCTTGGCAGAAGGCCTCTGTTGTTTCAGGTCAAACTGAGTTTTTGTACCACCTGCACAGATAACATAACAACTAAAACAAAATTATGTGTTTTTTTCTAGAAACAATACTGGAAGTTTAAGCAGATGCAGGTCATGTGTATTAAGTGTAAAATGAGACCTGGCAAAGGTCACTCAAACTGAACAACCTCTCACAAGCATAACTGTGCAAAGGAGACTGTTCCTGCTCTAAGGAAACTAAAACTCATACAAATCCTACCCTATCCCATGAAGAAAGGCTGAAAGCCATGGGATTCTTCAGTCTGGAATAGTGCAGGCTCAGGGGAGACCTGGTGGCTACCTATAACAACACAAGGGGTGTGCATCAGGATTTGGGAGAATGTCTGTTCACCAGAGTGCCCCAAGGAAAAACAAGGACCAACAGTCATAAACTCCTACAAGATCATTTTAGGCTGGACATAAGAAAAAATGTCTTTACTGTCTGAGCCCCCAATAGGAATAGATTCCCTCCAGATGTGGTGCAGGCACCTACTCTGGACTTATTCAAGAAACGCTTGGATGCTTATCTTGTTGGGGTCTTTTGACCTTAGCTGACTTCTTGGCCCTGGGGCAGGGGGCTGGACTTGATGATCTTCAAGGTCCCTTCCAGCCCTAACATCTATGAAATCTATGAAACACAACCACTGACACATTCCTTTGGGAAACACCTTCAGAAGAACCGGCCATAGACTTCTGCTGCTAATCGGATGCAAAAGAAAACAAAGGCAGGAGTTTCCACAACAAAGTTCTGATGGAGCTTTACTGCTCTGTGCTAATTTTCTGTTTGCTGCAACCCCATTCTTTCATGTCCTTCACAGTCTTCACTTCAGCTTCATTTTTCATCTGTCCTTTACCCCTCACCATTTTCCCTTCTCCACGTTTCTTTCCATTTATCTTGTCCCTTTTAACTAAAGCAAACAAGCTTTAAAGAAAAAAAGCCAAAAGAAAACAAACCCACCATCACTTAAGTAAGAAATCTAAATTTTTTGCAATGCCTGTATAGAATGTACCCCTCCCACACATTTCATTTACCTTGCTATTTAGACAATAATGTCTTTGGGTCACTGTAGAGTGCCTAGCACAATGACAACTCATTCTTGTTTGGGGTTTTTATGGCACTACAGCAGTAAATGTCATTCCTAATGATGAAATAATAATATTAATAGTGACGGAAGAGATCCATGTACAGCATGCCTGACGAGCCAATAATAAAAGGTCAGATGAAAGTGGTGGTGCCCTTGGCCTCTGGTGTCTTACTACTGGAGTAGGACAGCCCTGTTGGGAGGATTGGTGAAGCCTGTTAACCATACATGCCTAGTAAGTGCTGAAGCCACATTTCAACTGCCTTCATAAAGCACAGGGGAAGAAGTTTATGCAAACTTATTCAGTTCAAAGTAGTTCTTTGAAAAGTATGTCAGTAAAAATAGCTTCCAGGCAAGACTGTAATAAAACAGAGGCTAATTAGATATAACAACTGATTCTTGAGGTCAAGTGAAGTTACACCAGGGATGAATTTAGCCCAGAATGTCCACACTTACCCATGTGAGACTTAACTCAAGACATAGAAAAATATGTGGATCATATCACACCTTCATTCTTCCTAATGCAAAGCAAGAGGACTAATGAAACAAGTTACCTTGTTAAAAGGATAGCATCCATTTGAAAATAACATTTCTGGCTGAACATTCTGTGCCTAATGTAGCATCGCTGATTGCTATAACTGGCAGAAGCTACTTGACATTTTTCCCTCCCTCCCAAAAGTTCTTTTATTCCTCTGCACACTTTGTGCTTTGCCAGTCCCACTACTTCCCCTGTATCATCACAAAGGGTTGGCTTTTCAGGAACTAAATTTGGCCAAGAAACACAATTTCCAGGTCAAAGAAAAAGTTGATTTTTCCATGATTGATTTCTGTCCAAATCAGAAGGGTAGAGAAGTGCAGGGTCCCAGCCCTGGGGAAGCCCAACCAGAGTGGATGCCCCAGAGTTGCCAACCCTGGAAGTACCTGGTCAGCAAGCTAGGAAGATAGGCAGGTTCCACCAGAACTTTGTCCTGGCTTCAAGACACGCAAAAGTTCCACAAACAAGATAGCTGAGCCCTAGTGAACCAATGTGTTCATTAGGAAATTTCCTTTATCTCTGTAAGCCCAAGTTCTATTGACCTTCAGTGGGATTTATGCTATCAACAATCATGGCATATCTGAAAGTATGTCTGGATACTGTTAAATCACACCAAATCAGATAACAAAGGAAGACTGAAGCAAAGGAATACACTCAGAATACAAGCCATTCTTATATATTCCTTTAATATGTATTTTTTTCTTTCTTTATTAAAAGGCATTTGAATTCAGACATACAAAGTATACCTGACAGCTCCTCAACCTTAGTATTTTTAGACAGTAGATTTCTTATGGAAACTGTAATGGAAGTGGATTGTGAAGAGGGATTTTAGGAAGAAAGAAGTAATACTTAAGTAAATCTGTTAAAGAAGGATGTTCCATGTATTAAGACTTTTATGAGAGAAGGAGACAAGTTCCATGTATTAAGACTTTTAAGAAAGAAGGGCCAAGGTTAACTTCACTTACTGAGGAAGCAGCTTTAATAAGGCATTTTTGAATGATCTCTAAGCAGCTGACAAGAAACTTGCACTTCATGAAAAATAAGGAGGTAGTGGAAGGGTGTGGTGAAGAAAAGAGACAAATAGACAGTGTGACTTACCCTTGGCTGCCCATGACACGTCGCAGAGGCAAGAAACAGCAGCCAGAGGAGGGAGGGAGAGCTCAGTCTCCAGATGCCAATTCAGAACTGATCTGGCCCTGGAAACAAAACTTATTTAAAACGATTCCAGCTGCTGTTGCAGCCCCAGCAATAGAGGGAACCCAGCTCTGATCTATGCTTTTACCTTTCCCATAGGCTAATATCTTTCTCCAAGAGCACCTGGGAAAGAAAGATCTGTAACCAGGAAAGAGAAGGCCTGCCTGGGGACAATGGTTCAAGGTCCCCATTTTGTGCAATTCCATTATGACCTATCAGTTCTACGGACAAGACTCACGGTATTTGTCCTGGGAATAAAACCCTTCTGCAGAAGAGCTTCTGCAAAGAGAGATTTCCACCTAAAAGCAATTCCCTGGATTTTGTTACCAGAGACAATCTGGCCAGCTGCTTTTTGTCTAAACCTGACCCTTTTCCTGGGGCTTGGCTTCACTAGTAACTCAAACCACTGGCAAGACATAAACCTCTCCATCTTCATTTGGCCACTCCTAATGTATCTCTCTAAAAACCCTCTATGCCATATTTTAGTGTCCTACAATCAGAGCCACACCCACTCCCCCATATCTCAGTGGCAGAATTAACAAGACCCATCTGCCACAACCAGGTAGCAAGCTTATCTCTTCAAGATTCCATACCTATCCCTAGGTAATACCCAGGTCCCATGGCTTAGCAGGAACTGGATTTTTTTCCTAGAAAAGCTTGTGAAGGATTAGGTTTCTCCAGTACAAAATTAATAGCTTCAACCCTGTAAAGACTTGTATATTGTTGCAAAATATCAGTTTATTATAGGCTATCATGGCACAGATGATTACCACTGCAATATGATGCATTTCTAACAAAGGGGGAGAAAAATCCTGCATTTTTAATACACAAAGTGCATGGTTCATTTTGTTTTGATTCAAATTAACGTGTTTTGCTGATGACCTTTGGGGAACAGTTGCTTCTTAAGCCATAAATGCACCATTGATCTATTGCACTTTGTCAGCAAAACAAGGATCATTCCTAAGATGCCTCTGAAAATCTACAGAGAGTCTTATTTCACAGGAGCATCCTTTCTCACACAGACACCTTATCAGTCCATAAAGTTCCTACTGACGTAAGAAATGCAGAGATGCAGAATTTGCATAATCAGCTCATTTGCTGCATTCAGCAACCAGGGACATATTCTTGCTGATTCACACTCTCACTGGAAGGTTGCTCGAGTTAGTAGAAATTGCCATATTGAGATTCAATGGGCATCAGGTAAATTAGCTGGGCAGCAGCTAAATAAATAAGCAAATGAAGATGTATGTAAGTTATTATTACCTTTGCTCCACAGACGGTCAAAATGACCTTTGTCCAAAGGCTGGTTAAGAACCACGAGGCAAAACTTCAGGTCTCCTGTAAGAGAGATGTTGTTTCTCATTAACAAGTAAATTGATTTTTCCCTTTCATTCTCTTTGTTTTGCTTGCTGGCTGCTATTCCTCCCCGTTTAATTTTCAAGCAGGAACCCTGGAGCAGACTTCACTAATTCCCTTTCTTCTTAGGTTTCATCATTTCAGATACAGAGAAGCTGCCAGACATGCATTAGGCACAGTTTGCTTGGTAGCTTTCTATCAAGTCCTTTTCATTTATGAAGACTTATCAACTGAAGGCCGCCCTCACATAGGACCCCACATCTGTGTAACTCTCATATATAAACCCCGGTTCTGTTGTTGCCATCTATGCCTGGCATTTAGTGCTATTAGCTTTGTCCTGGGTTCTATTAACAAGGGAATCTGGTGTTGATATAAGGCCAAGTTCTCCCCTCTGATCTACACAGCAGATCTAGTCTCTGACAGTATGCTTTTCCCATGAACACACCACTCCCACTGACAGCAACAGTACCTCCATCTGCATGGAAAACACAAAGAACAGGTAGTTAGGCCAAGGCTATAAACAATGCTGATTAAGTCCTGTCAGCAGTGGGGTATTAGCAGCCTGGAAACCAGCTGGCTCCCTTAGTTTTAAGGTTTCTAATATAGTCATGTCTAGGGCTGCAATGAGAAGACTTATAACAGGGGTGTACATGAGGGTTTGGGGGAATATCTATTCACCAAGGCCCCCCAGGGGAGGATAAAAAATAATGGGCACAAGCTGATTGAAGAGCGCTTCAGGATAGACATAAGGAAAAACTTCTTTACAAGCTGAGCACCAAGGGTTTGGAATAGGCTCCCCCCAGAAGTGGTAGTCATCCACCTTGGCGATCTTCAAAAAATGTCTTGACGCCCACCTTGCTGGGGTCATTTGATCCCAGCAGTCTTTCCTGCCAATGCGCAGGGGAGGCTGAACCCAATGATCTATAAGGTCTCTTCCAGCCCTTAACAGCAACAACTATGAAACTGTGAAAAGGAACCATGAAAGCAATCATGGAAGTAACTAGTTCCTATCAATTCCTTAAAAACGGTCTTTTGATAGCTGCTTACACTTCCTCAGTTCCCTGCGAATTAAACAGCACAGTTAGTTACAAAAAGATAGTTGCAGTTGCAATTACCCTGTAGTTAAAGAGTAGCAATGAAGTTACTAAGTAGACAAGGAGGCTAAAAATTACTATGCATTTAACTGACATGCACTTATACTGTAAGCAGCAGGCAACAAACCTGAGTGTTATATTCAGCAGTTAACCAAATTATGCAATTATCCAATGTGCAAAAAAGGGAACATACTGTATTTGTGTGTATATATAGTTTCTCTCTGTCTCTCCTTTTTAGCTTGTGTCTGTTTCCACGGTTATTCTATAACCTAAATCCCCCTGCTGGAATCAGGGAATTACCAGGACATACCCTCACCACCTCAGTTCTAACCAGTCAGCATTCCCACCGTCTAAACTAGCTCTTGAACCAGAAAAAAAAAGAGAAAAAACATACAAGATGTAAAAGTTTTAAAGTAAATGGAAACCAGATATTCCATATGCTGCTCCAGGGAGAAAATGCAACCCCCCGAGCTTATTAGTGTTAGATGTGCTGGGATCTGCATTTATTTCATTTCCTAATTATCTTGCCTATCATATAGAAATACAAGTTTCCCCTGGAGCTTGATATCCTTAGGCAATCAGGTTAATGAAATGTATTTGGTCATGTGAAGCCACAGTAATTGCAAGAAGAAATCCTCTATTGCTAGGTCTTTTGGGCCTCTGAGCAGATTTAGTAGAGCAGGAGGTAAAGAAGGGCTAGAGGGAAACATGCATCCTAAGTCATAAGAGAGTGTAAGTGAACACAAAGGTGTTGAAATCTTTCTGAAGGTGGATGAAGGACTTGAAAAGAGCTTTAAAAATAGGAAGGACTATTAAATTGAGAGACAGGTGAATGTGTCCTCTGAGTCAGAGGACGGGCATGCAAACAAACATACATGAGTGTCAATATGTGATATCAGAAAGCACAATATTACACAAAATTTCCATGTGTGCTGGGCGGGGAAGGAGGGAGACACAGACGCGGGGAAGGAGAGCCATTAATAACACAAGAGTACCACCCAGCAGCTCTGCTATAACTGAGAAATGGTTGTCTACCCCTGGTAGAGTCTGGAAAGAGGTTACCAGAAAGGAGATCAGTGAGGTTGGAGCCAATATGGCCTAGTGGATGGAGCACAAAGACTGGGACTCAGAAGATAGGTTCTTTTCTCGGGTATTTCATTGGCCAGAAAGCCAGCGCACCTCGCGCTGCATCAGTTTCCCTGCCTGTAAACTGAGATGATTATAATGAACTTTGCGAAGGGCTTTGAGATCCACTGATGAAATCACTGTTATAAGAGTTTAATAGTATTACTAGTAAGGTACTGCTTACTAATAAAGCACAGAAATCAATTGTTGCTTATCTTGCATTCCATATGCTATGTGAAATCATATGGCCGTATACACATATTTACTTAAATATGCAGTGGGCAGCAGCATAACCTTGGCAGCTGCCACAGCAGGCATTCAATGAACACTTCCCAAATTCTCTAAACTGGTGGTACTAAACCGTTTGGGTGCTATGGGCCAAATCAGTGGGGTGAGGCAGATCTGTGGGCTGGATGGAGCCTCACGCACTAGAATAAGACCCTGGGACTAAGTACCAACCCTTCCCTGCCCCAAGTGCCAGGACCAGGCCCTGGGGCCTGGTCCAGTACCACCCATCCTGCTCTAGGAATAGTTCCCGAGGCCCTGGCACTGCCCCTCCCATTGGGATTGGTCTCCAGGAGCTCAGAACTGTCTGTTCCTGTCCCAGTGCACTAAGGACTGGGTCACTGGGACCTGGCACCACCCCCTCCTGACCTTCCAGACAGAGATAGGGCCCTGGGGCCCAGCACTACTGCCTCCCAGCCCCCTGCATACCAGGATTGGGCCCTGGGGCTACATTGCCCATCTGGCTCGATGAGCTGGGATTGGGTGCCTACTCCAGCATGAAGGACCTGGGGCTCCTCACAGGTTTGGAAATTTGGTGATGGGGGAGCAGCACCACAGCTCTCCTGACGCCATATTTACGGACCCATGGGGAGCCCTATGGGCTGGAAAACATAGGGCCACAGGCCAGGGGTTGAGCACTGTAGAACCTGGAAATTCCTCGATAAGACTTGCTCCCCATTCCAACTCTTAATTAAAGTTACTGCAGTCTTCTAGCCAGTGCCTGTGTAATGTACACAAGGGCAGAAGCTAACAGCAAATCTGTGTGGTGGAAAAGAGGGGGTAAGGAGACTCCTGGGAGCATGGGAAAGGTGGGTGGAATTCTCTTTTGTACCAAATTTGAACACGGTCTTTACCCTAGCAGTTTACCCTTGTACTTGAACTTACAGAGAAGGTGGGAACAACATTCAAACTAAGTAACAATTTGCAGCTGCAAGTGGGACCTTGGCAACAGAGCTGCTAATGATAGTTAAGCAAGCGAGGCTGCTACTAAGCACAATAGTTCAGTGATACCCTCCGCTGAAACCGCTTACTTAGGCGACCAATCAAAAAAAGAGCAAATACCAGGGTTTCTTTTATTCATACAATAAATATAAATAGACATAGAGACTGCAAGGTTACTGTAATAAGCAAATCACAAAATTTGTATATCCAGGCCCATGCTCAATCCTTCGCTAAATGTGCACATGGCAAATAAACCAGAGCATTATGAATTTTAACCTCTTAAACCTTTATACATTTTTGGAGCCACCTTCTTTATGTTAGAAAGGTACTTTGAAAATGCTGGCTCTGGTTTTAGATGCTCAGACTGAGACAGAGGTTTGTTTTCAGAGATTGACTTTTATTAGTAGAGAACAGATTGACTTTTATTAGTAGAATACTAAACATCCAGTATTCCCTGACAAAATTACAGAAGCTCATCCTGGACTGGCCAGAGCATGCACTGCATGCTGCACGCATCCCAGAACAGCCATAATCAGCACAACATGTGGCACAATCCAGCCAACAGAGGCACTTCCTGTAGTGTGCATCCCATACCGGCCACAGCAGGCACCATGTGTGTGAGATAGTGCCACCCCAGCCAGATTATGCCACATGTGGTGCCTGTTCCAGGATCTGCACCACAAGCAGTGCCTCTTGTTGGTCCAGAACTGTGCTGCTCCAGCCAGTCTGGGACTCCCACTGTATGCAGCAACTGGAGAACCTGGAATGGGCACTACATGTGGTACATGTCCAAAACTAGTGCTGGCAGATGGGAAATGAAGGGAGTGGCCTCTGGACACGCTAGCACACATCCTAAAGTGGCCTGAATGGGTCCACATGCAACACACATACCAGGCCCTACCCCTGAGGCCAGGCCAGCACATGTGAGTCAGCTCAGATCTAGGAACTGCTTTAGGGCTGCCTATACACGTGCTCAGAGGTGTGTGGGGAACATTTCAACTAGAGCAGTTCCCAGACAGCCACTCTAATTAAAATGCCAAATCGTCACATGTATTAAGCTCCCATGCATTTAAAAATGGCCACGGGACACTTTATCTAAACCTTATTTGATGAGGTTTAATTAAAGTGTCCCACAATCATTTTACCAGACACAGGGGCTTAATACACATGATGCTGCAGCGACACTGGAGCATTTTAATTAGAACATGGAGCAGACTTGATTAATCAGAGTATGGAGCAGACTCCAACACGTTCTAATTAGTATGCCAATGTGCATGTGTATAGGCAACCTAGGGGCTTATCTTAGATACTCATAATTTACAGTGAATCAAGGTCTGGCCTAAATTCAGCAGTAACTAAAGTGGAGATCACTGAGGACTGTGAACCAGTACAACATATGGCAACCAAAAACATGGCAGCTAGAGAAAAAAATGCACTGTCACAGAGCACTTAAGTGCCCTGCTTCTTTAGAGAGGGGCAACTGCTAGGAAAGAGCCCTAGCAGTGAGTGAGGAGCCCCAGATGCCAGTGCAACCAA